TAATCAAATAAATTATTAATATAGAAGAAAAAGTGAGGATAAATATAAGTAAATAAATAAATATATTGATAACATATGTAAGATTAAGTTAAAAGCTAGAGTCCTAAGAAAAGTTAGTGAAAAATAGAATATAGGTAAATGGAAAGATACCAAAAAAATATGCAGATGTGTTATATCTTTTATATTTTGACTTAAAACCTTTTAATATGGGTATTCAATAAAGGAGATTAATTTGAGTTAAAAAAGATATATAATAGTAATAGATATAACTAATTATTTGTTGGTCAAAATATGAATTAATCGAGATCCAATATAACTTTCAGAAACGAAAGGTTAGTAAAAAAAAAAAGTAGTTATAGATGTTGAGATAAAAAAATTAATGAACTCAATAACTTCTCTACTAATTGTTCTCAATTATATTCCAAACAAATTATATTATATTTAAAATAGTACTTCACAAATTAATTCTTATTTATTCAATTATTATGAGAGTAAAAAAAATAATTATTAAGTTATAAATAGTTTTGGATAAACTAATAAAGATTATTAAAATATCAAGAATTATGAATAATTACAACTTATAATAGGTGCACCTGGGCCTCTAGGTCCACTGGCATTAGTCAGGTTGATGGTGCACTGCCCCCCTCCCCTGGGCGGGTTCAAAACCCACCCCTTGCCAAAATGATAAAAAAAAAAAAACAACTTATAATAGGTAGAACCAATGTGTATTAACTTAATAATAACTTAATCAACTTTTAAGGGGAGAAAGAATAAGAGTTTTTATAATATATATCCTTAAAATACAAGTTAAAAGTGTATTTAGTGCATATTTTAACTATTAAATCTTATAGAAAAATTTTAAAAAATTGATATTAATGTTAGCACTAACGACATGTGTATTATTTCAATTGGTTAGTTGGTAAAATTAAAATCAATCTTTATTTTTTTTACGTAATTTAATGATTAAAAGGTATAATAATTACACTATTCAAGGTATAGATTAAAAAAATTTAAAGAATAATAATCAAATAAATTA